TCATGCATTGTTGGGAGCTCTCCCATGATGGGGCTGGGCTGGGTTTGTTGCAAAAGAGAAATGCGGGGCTGGAGTGTTTGGGCATTACCCCTGCCAGTGGAGAGCCTGCCTTACAGGGACGTTGGCACCCACAGTGCTGATGGCTGAACAAGCCCTGGGACCCACGGTGCAACCTCAAGGGACTCTTGGGGCATGGGGGGAGGATTGACCCTGAGGGTTCAGAGACAGACAGCGCAGAGGAGGGCAAGTTTGTGTAGAGGCTGCAGCTGCCCCCGGGACAGCGGTGCTGTGTCTTGCCCATGTCTGTGTGCCCCTGAGCCCAGCCAGTGACTGCCCTGCAGACTGGGGTCCTGATCGTTTGGCCCCCTGGGCAGGGGAGGAGGCAGCGATGGGGTGAAATTTCTGCAGGGCGCCCGTGCTGCTTTAGGAACTGGTCTCAGACACTCATAGTCAGACCCCGCAGCCCACCGGCTGCTTCTCCTCCGTGCTGCAGCCTCCCCTCATCTTCCTCTCCGGGAGTGGAGCAGGGCTGGTGTGGGCTCGGCCCTGCTCAGTCCTGTTTCGGTGGCTTGCTAGCCATGATGTGCACTCCCACAGTCCCGGTGATCAGCACCCCCAGCACCAACAGCAGGATGAGCCCCTTGGCCTGGCAGTAGGAGAGTGATGAGGCCTGGGCAGGCATGGTTGCTGAAACTAGAGCAAGGTAGAGGGTCAATGCCAGGGAGAAGGGGCTGGTGCTTCCCCACGCTGTTTGCCCTGGGGGGCAGCAGGGATAGGGCCAGCCCCTGGGGTACTTCCAGGGGCAAGAGGAGCCCTGCAGGGAGCTCCATGGTTTGGGGCCTCCCTGCACAGAGATGGTGCATGTGTCTGCCTGGGTAGGAGGGTCAGAGCAAATCTGCAGGGGAGGAATTTGGGCTGGAGAGTGGTGCAGCATCTGCCTGGAGTCAGGTGCCTTGTGGCCCCCCAACAGCCTTCACCATGAGGACCATTCTCCCCAGGTGTGGGCTGCATGTAGCTTCCCCACAGGGCATGTTACCTGCACAAAGGGCCTTGACAGAGGCCGTTGTGGAGCTGCTGCTGGCGGGGTTCTGCACTGCGCACGTGACGTTTATAAGAAGATTTGGGTGAGTAATGATCATGATGGATCCTTGACTGAACATACGGAGGGACTGTGGGGTGCTCCAGCTGTACGTCACCTTGTTGCCTCCATTGGGGATGGTGCAACTCAGGTTCATGTTACAGGACGAATTCACACAGCTCTGGGCATTGCAGTGAATCATGGGCTCTGGCAGCCGCTCTGCAGGGAGAGGGAAGGAACCGAAATGGGAGGACACAGGTGTGAAGGGAAGAAAACAGCGCCTTGCCTTCCTGCAAGCAATTATCTAAGACACTACTGGGAGAGCAGAGCCCCTGAGACCACCAGGTGACAGAGCAGAGAAGATAAAGGCCTATCAGCCCCCACTCAGGCGATGCTGGATGGTCCCTGTAGGAGGCCCTGGGGATGGAAGACCCCCAAAGGGATGTGTCTGGTGTGAGATGCCCCTGATGACTGATATTTCTGTCCAGGAGTACTTGCTCAGAAATATCCACACTTGTGTGCTCTTAGCGTGGAGGTGACAATGGTGCTGCACAATGTGTATTTACTCCGGCTGCAGCTGTAATGCTCAGAGCCCGGATCTGTCCAGTGCCCCCGGCTTGGCTGATGTAGGGGAAGCAGAGACCGCTCGCCCCTGG